TTGATTAATAATACTAAGGTATTTAACTTTTGATTGAAAATATGAGATTATATGCAATGTAATTGTAATTGAAGACTACGAAATGGAAGCACAAAACAATTTGTAAACCAACTGGCACACTGTATGTACACCTATGGAAGATAGCTTGATGTTTTTATGTTTTGTTTGTATATGTTTGTTTTTAAACACCAATAAATTTTTTTTAAAAAAAAGACACACTGGGATACATTCTGGTTTCTCTCACTCTTTTTCTCTCTGTGATCACATCTGTAGTCCTGCTAATCTTCCATAAACACCATGACACACCAATCGTCAAAGCCAACAACCGAGATCTCACCTATATCCTCTTGGTCTCCCTCCTGCTCTGCTTCCTCTGTTCCTTCCTTTTCATTGGTCAACCAGGGAAGCTCACCTGTCTCTCCCAACAATCTGCCTTTGCCATCCTCTTTTCCCTTGTGGTTTCCGCTGTGTTGGAAAAAACTGTCATGGTGGTTCTGGCCTTCAAAACCACCAAGCCAGGGAACAAGACAAGGAAACTCTTAGGAAAACCATTGACCTACTCCATTGTCTTAGTATGTCCTCTAGTCCAAGCAGTTCTTTGTGCCACCTGGCTGGTAACCTTCCCCCCATTTCCTAACTTAGATGTCCACTCCTTATTTGGAGAGACAATCTTGGAATGTAAGCATAGCTCAGCTGTAATGTTTTACATTGCCCTTGCCTACCTAGGTTTTTTGGCCCTTGTCAGTTTCACAGTGGCCTTTCTGGCTAGGAAATTGCCTGACAGCTTTAATGAAACCAAGTTCATTACTTTTAGCATGCTGGTCTTTTGCAGCGTTTGGATTACTTTCCTCCCCACCTACCTGAGCACCAAAGGAAAGTCTATGGCGGCTGTTGAAATCTTCTCCATTTGTGCCTCTGGAGCTGCTTTCTTGGCTTGTATCTTTTTCCCCAAATGCTACATTATTCTATTGAGGCCCGATCTGAATTGTAGAGAAAATATGATAAGAACCAAGAATTTCTAATGGTGCGGAATTGAAGGATTTCTCTGGTCATTTGCATTCTTTTAGCAAGTTGTTGGAGGTTGAGCAAATGACCAGCTGTCTGCAAGGTGTATAAATCCTTCCTCTCATCCAGTGAGAGATGAAGAAGTTTCTTGGAGGAGAAGCGAAATGCCTTCAAAGAAAAACCAGAAAGTCCAGTTGCCTTTTTAAAAAAAGCACCTTTGGGACTATCATAGCATAGATTGCCTCATGCAGGAGCCAGCACTCTCTACAATGGAGCTGTGTGCGTGCGTGCATGCGTGTGTGCTTGCCAACTGTGCTGTATTAGCATACTCCAAACCCTCACAAACTGATTGGTCCAGACAGACAGCGACCTGATTGGTCGAAGCCCCGGCCGTGATTGGAGCGCTGAGAATCTACCGCGATTGGCTGTGCCGATCGCGGGAGATTCAAAGCGTTGCCATTGGCCGCCGAGCCGCGAGCCAGCCCTATATGAAGGGCTGCCGTGGCTTGTATTCTTCAGACTGTTCCTATTCAAAATAAAGAGCTGAACTCACTAGAATGGTCTCGCGTCTCCTTCGAACCGATCCACCTCAGATCTAACACTGGCGACGAAGGTGGGATCGTGAGACAAAGAGACCACCCAGCACGTGGCGAGGTGGCACACAGCAGCAAGCAGCATGGCCGGCATCAACTCACCACCCGCACCCTTCAATCCTGCTACCGAGGACTGGGAATCCTATACCGATAGGTTCCAGATGTTCCTCGAGAGTAGCAATCTTAAAGATGCCAACGGCCACAAGAAACGGGCTGTATTCCTCACACACTGTGGGCCGGCGGTGTTTAAAATGGCCAAAGCCTTGGCCAAGCCGGAGGACGTCAAGACCATGGAGTGGGGCGACCTCGAGCCCCTGCTACGAAGCCACTACGCCCCCGTCGTGCCCATCCTCATCCGGCGGCACGATTTCTACAGGCGGGACCAGCGCGAGGGCAAGGGGCTTGGCAACTTCATAGCGGCACTACAAGATTTGGGTGGCCTGTGCGAGTTCGCCGACCTGGACGAGGCCCTGCGAGACCGCATCGTCCTGGGACTCCGAGACCCCATTCTCCAGAGCCGCATCATGGCAAAGGGCGACATCTCCCTCGCTGATGCGCTCACAGAGGTAGCCGTGGCTGAAGCAGCCAAGAAATCAGCGGCTCGGATGCGGCAATCGAGCATCGCGACATGAGCAGCGACCGGCGAGACGACACCGAACCCCAAAAGGCAACCCGAGATCGACCACCGGGACACAACCACGCACCACGGTGACATTGACTCCTTCTCAGAAACCGAGGACGACGAGGAGGAAATCCACTGCCTGCAAGCAGCACGAGGGCGACGGGAACCCCGAGGTCATAAGTCGAGGTTCCAGTGCGCCGGCTGTGGAGGCGATCACCCCCGTTCGGACTGCCGGTTCCTCGATGCCGTTTGCCAACAGTGCGAGAAGCGGGGGCACATCGCCAAGGTGTGCAGAAATAAAAAACAATACAGCCTGCGGCAACGAGATGGCAGCCCACGGAGGCAAGAGAACACCCCCACCAGATACCGAGACCGCCAGACGGAGAGCCGCTGGAGCCAAGAGGGTCGGAACAGGCGGCTCAACGAGGCAAGACAAAGGGAGGAAACACACCAGACCATCGTCGTCGGCCATTCCTCCACAAGCGACGCCAGAAAGGTATACGTGACGGTGGGGATAGAAGACCAGCCATGCCACATGGAGGTGGACTCTGGGTCCTTCCTCTCCATGGTCTCATGGCACACCATCAAGCGCCTGGTTCCCTCCATCCGCTGCAAGGAATTAGAAGACCAAACACTAACCCTCAAAGACTACCAGGGAAACCGCATCCCTGTAGTTGGCAGAGGCCACTTTAAAGTCACCTTCAAGAACCACACCGAAGTGCTACCCCTGACCATCGTCGACCGGGATCGGCCGAGCCTGTTGGGACTACAGTGGTTCGCACCCCTAGGCATTGAAGTAACCGGAATCCACCGCACCACAGAGTCGGACTGGGAAGCGGCGCTCGTGGAGGACTTCCGGGAAGTTTTTGACAACAGCCTAGGCAAGTACCGGGGGTCCCCTATCTCTTTTAATATAGACCCGAGCATCGCACCAATCCGCCTCAAGCCCAGACGAGCGCCTTTTGCACTCAAGCCCAAGATCGATGAGCAGCTAGATATGCTCATCGCGCAAGGGGTACTGGAGCCAATCGATCATGCCAGGTGGGAGACCCCCATAGTCACCCCCATCAAGCCAGATGGGTCCGTGAGAATTTGTGGGGACTATAAGGCCACCCTAAACCACGCGCTCCAGCAAAGCGCATACCCCGTCCCAGTAGTGCAGCACCTTCTGCACTCGCTGGGGGGAGGCCGGATCTTTGCAAAACTCGTCCTGGCACAAGCCTACCAGCAACTGCCGGTTGACCCCACAACCGCCGAAGCCCAGACCATCGTAACGCACCGGGGGGCTTTCCGTTGCAACCGGCTCCAGTTCGGAGTCAGCGTGGCACCCGGGGTCTTCCAAAACCTCATGGAAAGACTCCTCCAGGGCATAGAGGGGGTGGTGCCCTACTTTGACGATGTCTTGGTGGCCGCGAAAAACGAAAAGCAACTAGAAGCCCGGTTGAGGGAGGTACTGAAGAAATTCAGAGACTCGGGACTCAAAGTCAAGAAAGGGAAGTGCCAGCTACGGGCTGAGAGGGTCGAGTTCCTAGGGTACCTCCTAGACAAACAAGGGATCCACCCCACAGAAAAGAAACTGAGAGCCATAAGGGAAGCGCCACGACCCAAAAACAAAACGGAACTGCAGGCTTTCTTGGGACTGTTAAACTTTTACAATGTCTTCCTACCTCAAAAGGCGACTGTGGCGGAACCGTTGCATAGGCTGTTAGATAAAACAGCCACCTGGACCTGGGGAGCACGGGAGGAGAGCGCCTTCAACAACACAAGGAACCTGCTAACATCTGACGCGGTACTAATCCAGTACAGCGAGACCCTGCCATTAACGGTAACGTGCGACGCAACGCCTTTTGGGATTGGCGCCATCCTCAGCCACCAGCTACCAGATGGGAGGGAAGCACCCATCGCCTTCTCATCAAGGACACTTTCAAAGCCGGAGCGGAATTACAGCCAGCTCGACAAAGAGGCCCTAGCAGTTGTCGCAGGCATCAAGAAATTCCACGAATACCTTTACGGTAGAACTTTTACAATCATCACGGACCACAAGCCGCTGCTAGGGATCCTGGCAGGAAATAAGGCCACACCGAACATTCTATCACCAAGAATGACAAGGTGGTCTGAATTCCTGTCAGCATACAATTACCAGCTGGTTCACCGACCCGGAAAGGACATCGCCCATGCAGATGCCCTGAGCCGCTCACCCCTGCCCGACCTAGAAGACGACCCAGTACCCACGACAAAGGTACTTCAAATAGAGACAATACCCAACCCACTAGTGACCGCGCCAGACATTGCCAGAGAAACAAATAAAGACAAGCGGCTGGCGCGAGTCCTAAGCTGGGTTGGAAAAGGATGGCCGGAAGGGGACAGGGACGAACTATTCAGACCCTTCAGAAACAGACAAACTGAACTCTTTACCGAGAAGGGCTGTATACTTTCGGGGGACAGAGTGGTAATTCTGGAAACATTGCAAGAAAGTTTATTGGGGATGCTGCATGAGGGGCACCCAGGGATGGTTAAGATGAAAAGCCTGGCCAGAAGCTATGCATGGTGGCCAGGCATGGACAAACAGATCGAAACTTGGGTAGCCAAATGCAAACAATGCCAAGAATCAAGACCCAGTCCTCCCGCCGCCCCAGTACATGAGTGGGAAACACCAAGAGGACCGTGGTCTCGGATTCACATAGATTTCGCGGGACCAACCAAGGGGCACATGTACCTCATCACAGTAGATGCTTACTCCAACTGGCTGGAGGTAAGCACCATGAAGTCAACCACAACGGAGGCGGTAATAAGGAAACTGGGCAAACTCTTTGCCACACATGGCCTGCCAGATATAATAGTGTCGGACAACGGGCCCCAGTTCACCACGTTAGCATTTGAACAATTTCTGGCAGGCCAGGGAATACGCCATGCACTAACCTCGCCGGCAAATCCGGCGGCGAACGGACGGGCGGAACGCATGGTCCAATACACAAAAAAAGCCATACAGAAAATAGAAACAACCAACATACAAGATAAAATCAATAAAATGCTCCTCATCCAACATATTACACCTAGCGCAACCACAAATAGAAGCCCGGCAGAACTAATGATGGGCAGAAAACTACGATCAACACTAGATAGAATGCACCCCACATACACCCCTGACAAACCCCCAGGTTCCTCCAGCAAGCACAGAAAATTCAACATAGGTGATGCCGTATACACAAAAAACCTGTCAGGGGAACCACTCTGGATACCAGCAACGATCACCCAAATAACCGGCCCCGTATCATACCGACTAGAAACAAGCGACGGGAAAAACTGGAAACGGCACATTAACCAACTGAGGTCCAGAATAGCCAACAACCATACACCCGAGCAAGAAACTAGAAGGGGGGGGAACGGCAAGTGTTAAAGAAAGAGGGACCCCCCTAGCGCAAGCTGAACAACCCCCACCCAGAAACCCGCAAATAGACTGGTCCTACTCACCAGTAAATGCAGAACCAACAGAACAGGCAACCCCGGAGTCATCACCGGGAAGGAGCAGCCAGGCCAGTTCAACCAGCCCAGAAAAATCCGGCGGGAACAACAGAGACGGCAGCTCAACCAGCCCGGGTAGACCGGGAGGGAGCTACCAACAAGGGCCCAGCCCGACCTTCCAGGCGGTTCCATCCCTGGGAACCGGAGCGACAGAGAAGGCTTCCGAACCGGTCGACAACCAAACAAGAACTGAGCCGCACAGGTCAACTAGACAGGTACAAAGCCCCGCCTACCTGCGCGACTACGTCACGACGCACCGACAGACGAAACCAAGAGGTGAGGGGTGTGCTGTATTAGCATACTCCAAACCCTCACAAACTGATTGGTCCAGACGGACAGCGACCTGATTGGTCGAAGCCCCAGCCGTGATTGGAGCGCTGAGAATCTACCGCGATTGGCTGTGCCGATCGCGGGAGATTCAAAGCGTTGCCATTGGCCGCCGAGCCGCGAGCCAGCCCTATATGAAGGGCTGCCGCGGCTTGCATTCTTCAGACTGTTCCTATTCAAAATAAAGAGCTGAACTCACTAGAATGGTCTCGCGTCTCCTTCGAACCGATCCACCTCAGATCTAACACCAACCATTTGTGTGAAGCATCTCCTTTTTTTCCTCCCGCCAGTCCACAAAGCTGGAAATATTGGGGAACTCTGCAGTAGAATATAAAATGAAAATGAACCCCCTCCTTTTAGCACTGAGGATGTCACCTATGTCAGGATTCCAGCAGTTACTCCAATTAAATCATGAGCCTTGAGCCACACTCCAAAAACTAAAAAAGATTTATTTGAAGGTAACAGTCTACATCTGGCATATACCTGGGTGTAGCCAACTCTAAGATATGTAATTCACTGTCACCCTTGATCCTGTTTCCCCCCCCCACACCCCTCTGAGTGTATAATCCAATGAAAAACGTCCATAGCCAAGAGTCATCAATCATGCCCTCCAATTAGATTTTTGCACGGCAGAAGCTTCAGTCATCTAATCAAAGAAAATATGAATGGAATGTACTTTCGATTCCACACTGCTGCCTGCTCTTTGAAACTCCCCCCTTCTTTCTGTTGTCAACTATAAAACATGTATACAAAATGTTTTATGAGTTGACAACCTTGTTTTGTAATGAAATGTCTGCCAGAAAACAAGCAATCTCAGAAGGCACCAGTTACAATTCCTCTATCAAAACTCCATCTTATCTGAATGGCAAAAACTCTGAGAAAGAAATTTATAAGTTGACAATGGCAATTACATGTAAGGAAATTTTATATAAAATATTTTATAGGTGGGACTTACCACCAATCAGATTAGCATAGAAGTTTAAAAACATGTCTGCCAGATGTTGGAAATGTAACCAGACACAAATAAAATGGTATTCATCATATTTACGTTTGACAAGTTATACAATGCTAATAATAGTATAGTTGTTTTATTAAGTTATTGTTATAATCTTTATTAAATTACTATCTTATTTCAATATGTTATTTTTGTTATTTTTATATCAACCAAATTCTAGATGTCATTCCTTTTCCTTCAAAATAAAATGTTAATATTCATATTACAAAAATCTTATATAAATTGATTAATCATACACCTATTTGTTAGTTTGTATTCTTCAGTTATTTAATTATTCCATTATAATATGTTCAAAATTACTCTCATTGAAATTCTAAATTCCCTTGTTATTAATTCACCTTATATAAATTCTATTCCCTTAATCCCCCTTTTTCTAATTTCTAGCCATTTTTTGTTATCCATCATCTCCCACTCTCAATAAAGCTTGGATTGTTCATTACTTAGCTTGTCTCCCATATTCCTCTCTTGGATCTTTACCTCTAAATGCTACCACTTTTTCGCCCATCTTCTTAGACATTTCTCCCTTCTCTACCTAGTTCAATTGTCTCATTTTCAAGTTATTTTACCCCTGTCTCTCTCCCAATGGAAGCTCCCTGCAATTCCAATTCCTGTTTAACTTCACTTAAAATATTCTCCCCTTGGTTAATATCATCTATCATTATCGTTTTTATTTTTATCTCCATCTTATCATTTATTTATTTTTATTTCTTGTTTTGTCTGTTGTATTTTTGCAACTGCTCTTTCAGTTAGCTTCTCCTTTTCCCGGACATCCTCTATTCTCTTTGCCACTTGTGTCCCAATTTCCAGGTCTACATCCATGCTCTGTGTTTTATTCAAGCTCTCTTCACATCTTCTTGTCAAAGTATCCTATCCTATCCTGAATTTCCAAGGTGATTTCTTCCCAAATTCCACTCATCTTTGTTTTGTTTCTTTTATTTCTTTTTGTCCAATAATCCAACAATCTTTTATTCAAGCCAAGGTCACTTCTCAAACAAAGAGTTCAATGTCCAATGTCCAGGAGTCTTTGTATCCCCAAGTTAGTCAATCTGTTCTTTTAGATAATCCAAAAATAAAATCAATCTATATTGACACTTTCAGGGTTTTTTTTTAATGGTAAAGTTTTCGTTATTCATTGGGCCAGAAGCGGCCACAAGCTGGAGGGATTGTCCCCAAGTTCGTGGCTGAGTTCCTTTTTTCCCCTCTGAATCAGGGGTCTCACGGTGGTGGGGTTGTCCCCCACTGGGTTCTCTTTCAGGTTCTGGGTACCATGTAAACCCAGGGAAGCATTCATTCAGCACCCAGGTTTTATCCTTGGCAGAAATTCTGTTTCAGAGCCTTCTTCACCAATGGCTGGACCATGTCCTGAATTCTCACCCCCAAAAAGTCCATTTGGTTCAGGGGAGAGGCATAATTAAGCTTTAAACATGGGAGTGTTATCTTCATGGATATAGAGGAGGAGGAGGGGGGCAGGGGACAAATAAACCCTCCCCTGTTGCGGCCCACCCTCTGCCCTTTGGCATATGTGTCCTGATGTTGCATGACCAAGCAAGAGAGGCACGGAGCCAATGCTTTTTTCATGATTATGAACAAAACTTTGGCCAAACTTATGGGGTTCAAATAAATCCCAGATGCGCAAGTAGCCCTCAGTCATTTCGTGATTGTTCGAAGTTACTGCAAAAAATGGACTTCAGACCACTTATGACCATTGTGACCATAAAACCTGAGTAAGACCACACCTAGAGTCCTGCGTCCAGTTTTGCTCACCACACTATAAAAAAGATGTTGAGACTCTAGAAAGAGTACAGAGAACAACAGCCAGGAAGATGAGGGGACTGGAGGTTAAAACATACGAAGAATGGTTGCAGGAACTGGGACTGGCTAGTCTAGGGAAGAGAAGGATCAGGGGAGACAGGAGAACAGCCTTCCAATATTTGAGGAGGGGCTGCCACAGAGAGGAGGAGGGGGTCAAGCTATTTTCTAAACTAAAGCACTCAAAGGCCAGACAAGGAAGAATGGATGGAAACTGAACAAGGAGAGCTTCAACCTGGAAATAAGGATAAATTTTCTGACAGTGCAGAATGGAACAGAAGTTGCCTTCAGAAGTTGTGGGAGCTTCATCCCTGGAGGCTTTCAAGAAGAAACTGGACTGCCGTCTGTCAGAAATGGTGCAGTCTCTTGCTTGGGCACAGGGTGGGACTAGAAGGCCTCCAAGGTCCCTTTCAACTTTGTTAATTCTGTTATCCTTTGCTGTTCTCAACCAGAATGTGTACAGACCATTGTGTGGCTTTCTGATTTTGCAAGCACAGAATGAGGTGGTGTAATATTTGCAGTTCTCTCTCTCTCTCTCTCTCTCTCTCTCTCTCTCTCTCTCTCTCTCT